AATATCTGGAAGAGTGATTTACATCATCGTGCAATTTTTCTCACTGACGGTACCCAACTGACACCTACTGTACTGTGCTGTCGAAAAAATCAAAAACAAACAACGCACATGCGCCATATTAAAAATGGCGACAGTTTACCCATTGGATATATGCGTGGGATTAATACAAATAAAATTTGTCACCTAGTTGATTGCTTTTATCTTCTATTCAACACCTTGATTTCGGAGTTTCATAGACGTAACTTATTGCAACATGATTTTTAAAAACACGCGTGAATGCGCTCTGATATAATTATTTTAAATTTATCTGTTGCAGTTAGGGAATTTTGCACGCATCCCAATATATGGGAGCAGCTAAATAGATATGGTAAAATGCAAAATGGCATTGTTAGTTAGTTAGTCAAAAGTATTTTAAAACATTGCTACTACACTCGTAATAAATTTTGTTCAGTGTCTTTCAAACAAACATAGTGATTTTCCTAGCTTAGCTTGGATGTGGCACAAGGCCGAAAGTAAGGGGGCACCCAGTGAGGATCGAACTCATTACACATTCGTAATTGTTCTAGCGAGACAAGCTAGCTAACCATTACACCTGCTCGAGGTGCCCCTTTCAAACAAACATATATACTTACATTTTGTCAGAGATACACTCTCCCAAAGCACATATAATTTATCCCGCTCTCACTCATTCACTGTCGAAACTCCTAAATGTAGCCGTCTCTTCTACTCCAATAGCTTCGTGTCTCGCACCTCTCGCCTGTGGAACTCTCTTCCCTATTCCAGTTTCCCTGTGAGCTATAATCTCCAGCTATTCAAATGTAATGTCAATCGACATCTCTTGCCTTGATCTATCCACTATACTCATCGTTTCTTCTATCACTCCTATCTGATCTTGCTCTAAATTTTCTGTAACCCCTTGCGTCCTAGTGGCTTCCCGCCTTGCTTGGGGTGAAATGCTTAAAAAAAAACTGATATACAATGATCTTTTCCAAAAAATTAACTGTCGGAGAAGTGTTATTGGGTATGAAATTTAGTATAATATAGAATTAGTTTTATTTTTTACTGGGATGAGTAGGGAATATATTAGTACTCATGAGATATTTTTTTCATCTTGTTTATAGTTAGAGGTCATTTAATTACTGTATAGTAGGTTGATATGTCGAGGGTTATTTGAGGAAGTATTTTTTTTTATTTATATTAATTTTTCTAATGAATAATTTAGTTTGTTCATCAACTATGTAATTAGGAAAATCATTATTAATGATAGTTTGATGTTTTTATAATTCAGTGAAGAAATTATTTTTCGTGTAAAAATTAACTTTTGCAAGGTTTATTAAATTTTGTCAAATAGCTATTTTGTAATAGGGCATTTGCTTTTATAGCTTAGAGTTTACTCGTTTATTTTTGTTAGTTTTTATATGGGGAATATAAATTTATTAGTGTCTATCAATACATCAAGAAAAGGAATTTTATTGTTATTGTTAATTTCATAAGTGAAGTTAAGAAAAGAGTTTTCTTGTGTTTTAAAGTTGCGAATACTATCTACATATCTTAGGTAGATGGAGAGTATTTTAGTGGTGTTAAATATCTTCTTTTCAAGGTCAGCTGTGTAAAATTTACTAAATGTTGGTCCTAAAACTGAACCCATTGATATGTCATCACGTTGTACGTAGATATTATTTTGATGATCATAGAAGGAAAACTCAGTAGTACAAGTCAACAGTAGCTTTTGAATATGTTAGGTTTCATTTGTAATGAAGGGAAAGATGGAGTTTCGTAAGTATTATTTATTATATCAATCGTTTCCATAATTGGAATATTGGTAAATAAACTTCCACATTAAGTGAGGCTATGATTTCATTATTAGGTTTTTGTCTTTTTAAGATTTGGGTGACATCAATTTAATAATTCTGCTGATATCAGTTTATTAATTGACTTATAATACTGTATTAAGTTAAATTGCAATGAGGTCAAAGTGGTTGGTTTTCTTCTCTTAATTAGATCGCCATTAAAAAGTGCTACTGAGCTCTCTCTACCGAGATGAATCGTCTTCACCACGGCTGAGGCTCTTCATCTCACCTGCATATATATATATATATATATATATATATATATATATATATATATATATATGCTTATAAACTTCAATCTTCCATGAATCTCGTACATTCATAACTGCTCTGGCGTATCAAATGTAAACAAATGACGTCATATATTAAGAAATGGACAAGGTCCGACAATTTATTTATTATAAATAAATAATTATATATATATATGCACACCCATTAGATGGAACGATAAGTGAGTACATAAAATTTCGTTAACTTCTGTCGAAGTAAAAGCAAAAAATGTAAAATTCAAAATACACCAAGAAATCTTTTTTTTAACCATGAAACATGTGAAAGAACCAATGAATTACAAGATTATTAACATATTTTACTTGTTAATAATCTTATACTTCGTTGGTTCGTAACTCATAAAAGTAAAGACCGTCTCTTTAACATCAGTTTATTAATTTATAGTTTAATTTGGTTAGTAGGAGTTTTTGTTTTACTTTTTAAAATTTGATATTAGTATTTTCTGTAATTTCGAATTATAATCGATGATTATAAAAAAGATGTTCACGGAGGAGATCAAAAGTACTTGGGTTAACAAAACCTAAGGCGCCTTCCTTGATGAATTTCTTATTAACATCAAGAAGCAAATTAAAGGACTAGAAAGTATTAATATAAAAGAAATAGATATAATATGTCTATATTATTCAATGAAATTTGCTTGAATAATATGGCGCAACTCATACATTAGTAGCGAGCTTATGCGAAAATCTGATTATGCAATTCATACCATCTAAACAACTCATGAATCAGCCATTAAGATTTGAAAGTATTACACTACAGTTCATTAATGTTGCTGCGAAAAAAAAGTAGCTAAATTTACTAAGATCTGAAAATGAAACGAGTCCTAATCACTAAAATAACAGTTAATAAAAAAATTATTAAAACTGAAAACAGTATGACCTACCGGCTTAATTAGAAAGAATCACTTTTAACCCTCTCAAAGAATCCCAATCTTTACTTCAGATTTCCTTTCGAGAAAAGGAGATCTGTTTTAAAGAATTCATATCCATTGTAGCTTTCATTTTTTAGATGTGTAACAAACATAGAAAAACTAAGCTGCTACTTTGACGCGTAATCTTTTTTTCAAATCGTGTAAACAATGTCAGGAGTTATGAAAACTTACAGGGTTCACGAAAGATAACTCATTATCTTGATATCGATTTACTCAGCGTAGCTTAGATGCGACGCAGATTCGAAAGTATGGAGTCCTCGGCGAATATCGAACTCACTATTCAGTCGTAAATGCTCAGGCGAAACAAACTTGCTAACCAATTCACCACATCGAAATGTGCCATCTGCTTTCTTTATAGTTCTTTTCTAAGCATAGCTTAGATGTGGCACAAGGCCGAAAGTATGGAGAACCTAGTAAGAATCGAACTCACTTTTCAGTCGTAATTGATCTAGCGAGACAAGCTCGCTAACCATTACACCACATCAAAATGCGCCACCCGCTTTCTTTATATATATAGTTTGTTAAAACATAGGTAATATTACGAAGTGCTTCCATTTTTCTGCAGGCTTAAGCACCAGAAATATAGAAAACAAAGTCTTTATACCAGAAGATAGCTTCTTTCTTTCCATCTATATATCGGCATTATAATTCCGACTTATTCTTTGTCTTCTAATAATGGTATTTTCTAGTCGTTGTAAAATTTAAATATTTTTATGGAAATAACATTTAAGAGTCACCTAAGAAATGCAAACAGTCAAAAGTAAACTACGTTGAAAGGACTTTTGTTCTCGCAAAAGAAAGTCTTGTAACTATAAAGAAACTAAGGGTTATAACAAGGCGTTAACTGAGAGAATTGTTAGATGAAACTAAATAATAGATGAATATAGTCCATAAAATAACATTGTTTAGCTATATAAATGAAACATAGGCTAACTGAAATAAATGGTTTCTGTAAAATTAAATTTGAAGGTGAATTTCAAACACGTTCACCATCTAACTTGCATGTATTAATCATTTGCGATGGCTGAATGAAAGAAAACTAATCTCGATTGTCTCTCTTATCTCATATCTGCAGATATTTTTGCGAGAGAAATCTTAAAATATATTAGTATTTAATATATAACTTCAAAACTTCTTATACAAAGTTATATAACTGATAAGTGAATTTAATGTTATATCAAACCATATGAAACGTAAAAGAAAACAAAAAACAAATGGACTATTAGAAAACTTGCAAATAAATTTCCCATGATGCTTCTAAAAGAATTAAATATAATGTGATGTTGATTCAGATCCGTCCATTTTCCTTAAATGGAATTCTATGTTATAATGTGAGAAGCATTATTTTTAATTAAATAAATATCTGCAAAAGTTTCATTAATGAATACATATAACGCAAGTATAGTCTCAAATGCTTGGATACACAATTTCAGAAAGATTAGCAAATTTTTAAAAAATCACCAGCAGGAAAACTGAATTGGAAAGTTTTCAAAGTTATACTCATGAATAACAAAGCTTAGATTTTATAACGTGGCTGACATAAACTATAAAAAATTTGAAAGGTTATCTTGTTTGAAATTCAAAGCCTATCTGAAAGAATCTGTCGAGATTCGAATGATGTTAAGCCGAACAACTCGCTAATGATAAAAGGAATTACTTCCTTATTGTTTATGCTAATGCATTTTTCATGAGGAAAAGGGCATTCTGTAGACGTGGAAGAAAAGAATACGAAGCAACTTGATAAAATGGTTAAGAATGGGAAATGGCTCCAAGCCAAATAAGGAAGTCTGAATATGTTATCCATGCAAAAGGGATGCATTACACAAACAAAACAATTCAATAACGGTACTTTTCATTAGATATTTATTAGCACATTTCAAATCATATTTTGCATTGTGTTCTCTTCAGTAATAGAAGATATCTGTACAAAAATGTCATTCTATTATCTAAGTTCAAACTTTTGTTTTTTTATCTATCTATCTATCTATCTATCTATCTATCTATCTATCTATCTATTTATGTGTTACAAGGTATTCGCGTGTTGGTTAATGGTTGGCGAGGAAAGTCTGACTATTCCTCTTGAGAATTGGTATCACGCCTCAATGGATGCCTCCTAGAAAATTCGACGTCGTAAAACCAACCAACCAATCAACACTGTTTTATTAAAGCGATAAAAGAAGTCAGTATTAAAAGGGGCAACAAGGGAAAAAACTATAGTAGTTGGTAATAGGAAACAATAACAGCAACAACAACAACAACGACAATAATAATAATAATAATAATAATAATAATGGTAATATTAGCTGTTTCCTTATAAGGAAACATTCAGCATTCATTGACCGAACAGCTAGTACTACTGTCAGTTAAAATTTATAATTTTTTTCTTAAAACAATTTTTCAGGATAAGAGTTTTTCAAGCCCAGTAACTGTTATCGCTCTTTCTGTTATCAATTGGGGGGGGGGTCCTTATAAACTTTTATTTGAAATAGTGTGGAATGTCAACATTTTGCTGTTGAAAGAAAGTGATGTGGATTCTTTTATTTAGTACAGTTCTTTGTAATTCTGTAGCGCTAGTCCACAAGGTTCGAAGAAATGTTGTCTTGACCAAGACCCATATGCTTCACTTGCTCAAAGCCATTTTAAACCATTGATATTAGAAAATGGCTGTATACAGCAGACAATTTTCATATTTCAGAAGGGGTTTGGCGCTATGCCTGACATTCATATGAAAGACTCGATCTGACGAAGCTATTTGAGTACATCGAGTTTTCAGGTTAATGTAGAAGTTTGTAGAATTTTGCGATGTTGGACGAAACTACATCAATCACAGTCTATTCTGTGTTCAATTTCCTTTTCCTATGTTAAATGTGTTATGACGGATCCATACACCGAGTCATTTAAATTGTTTAGTATTTACTAAAGGGAATGACAAAATTGGGGCTCTTTTTACGGAAAGGGCAGAGGAGGAAAAGGTTTGTTTTTTTCCATTGGAATAGATGCTACGGTTGTAGTATCTGTTCCGTACCGGAGAACATCCCTCCTTCCTTGCGTTCTTCCCCCACTCTAGCTCCGTTGCGTCAACAGAATCCTCGGACTTGTTCCGAACATCTGTTCCGTAACGGAACTCGGGTCTCATCGTTAAAAATCGACCCTGTGTCACAACCTAACTGATTGGAGAGTCAAAGTTAATACCGGGAATAACAAAATGAATTAACCTTGTTATTCTCTTTTATATTTTTTATCGCTATTTACTCGAATACTGACGAGTAAGAAACGGGAACCAGTTTTTGTACATTTTAATTTTGTCTACATTTGTAGCTTTAATTGAATTTTGTACCTATAATAAAGTATTCAGCTATTTATTTCAGTCTTTAATGTGTGTCGGTGACATAACGCCATCGGTGTGAATAAAAGTACATATCCAAATTTAGTTTTTGGTTGTTGGATTAATTTCGTTATTTTGCCATTGGGACAATGTAGAACAGAAAGGGCGCTTTTGCATTGTTAGAGCAACCAATCATAGAGAAACACAAATCCGTGACGAAGACAACATAAAAATAAGTGACCTGTAACTGCTACACATCACGTCACGTTGAACTGATTCAAGCTTCAGCTCACAAAAATATCAAGATGTGGCCAACGAAGTTTTGCCTATCACACAGGCAGCACAGAAGCTTTGATAATGAAAGTACTTGAACAAAAATATGAACTTCTGAAAGTTTATCCATGATTTCGATCCTGATATAAAATTCGAAAATATGAAAAATACAATAAAAAATTACCTTTTTTCTGTTGAATATAATAACACTTGTTTGGATGAATATTACTGCCATAATATACCCCCATATATATATATGTAAATTTTATATATATATATATATATATATATATATATATATATAAATTTTATATATATATATATATATATATATATATATATATATATATATATATATATATATATACAGGTAGTAGTCTGTTGGTATGATCCAAGCGAGTCCTATTAACACAGTACAGAATTTGAAATATTAAATATTAAATGTTAAAACTGACTCACAAAGAGCGGTCAATATTTATATATATAATGTTTATATATATATATATATATATATATATATATAGGAAAACTTTGGCGTCATCAGAAAACGAATTTGATTTCATTTTTCTCTCTCTCTCTCTCTTTCTCACACACACAGACATATATACATGCAAACGCACAAAATTCTGCCAAGGTTTCAATCTGTACATCAGTATAAAGAAAACCAACGTGATGGCCCAAGGCGTTTAACAGTTTCCCGCCATTAAAATTAACATCTACCACCTGGAAGTGGTTCTTGAATACATATACTACCGTTTCAGACACCCTCTTCCTAGACACTGAGGTCAACAGATCGGACAAGGTGCGACTACATTTGTCAGGTTGATCTGCAGAATCTGGGAGAATAGTAAGAGTATTAAGAACACCAAAATTGCTGTCTATAAGACATGCGTGGTCAGCGTGTTGCTCTACGACAGCGAAACTTGGAGCCTTTATTCCAGACAGGAGAGATGTCTCAGCGCCTTTCACGTTCGCTGTCTGAGATGCATTCTGGGCATCAATTGGTTCGACCGGGGCACCAATGCCGTAGTTCCCACCCATGCCCAGTTATCCAGCCTAAACGTCCTTCTCCAACAACGGCATCTCTGCTGGAATGGACATATAAATCTTATGCTGGATGGAGGTATTCCGAAGATCCTTCTGTAGGGGAAACTAACCAGATAGGGAGATGGAAAGACATCGTCAACGATCGCTCACACTGGAGACGCAATTTACACCGAAGTCTGCGGGGGAAGAGAGGAGAAATGTTGGCTTGCCGTTTGGGAGAAAGGTGCTCGGCAGAAAGAAAACAGAAGACGACATCGGGGGAAAGTGTCTTGACATGCATTCGTTGTAATCGATGCTATCACTCCCGTGTGGGCTGTACTGCCATAACAGATGCTGCATCGCCATCAGCAGCTGAGGCATAACTCTTTGGGCACAGACCCAGGGACTCCCGAGATCGACGGATGTCAGCGAGACGAAATATTATATTCTTTATATAAATTAATTCTTTATGATATAATATAAATGCTGCACACTCTAATATATTTACGAAAATAAGATACGCAGTATTGAAATTGAGAATCTGCAATCGCGCACTCCAAAATAATATAACTGTTAATAAATAGCATATTTAAAAAAACAACAAAAAAACATCTTTCTGTCAACACTACACATATTTCATCTTGGTGTTTTGACTGTAAATGGAAAAATTACGCCCTGAAGATGACAATTCGAAATTGTTGAAAGTACTTGTCTCGTCAATTCCATCTGACAATAACTCAAATATATAACAACTCAAATATAAGGATCGTATTATTCAGGGAATTGATAGTAAGTTAATGACTCATTAAGTCTTGTTAGCGAAGTGATTTCGTTATTAATCTCATTAACATTGCTAATTCTTTTTATAAATTACTTTTTTATGATATAATATAAAAGCTACACTCTCTGATATATATATATATATATATATATATATATATATATATTTATATATATAAATACATCATTGGGAAAATCAATTGAAATAAAACGAATAATTCCGTTATTATTTACTTTTTTTTCGTATTTTTCCGATGAAACATGGCCCAGTGCACATGTTAGTACTTCGTATGCCCATTCCACGGAGTCATTCTTCGTATATTGACCCCAGATTCTCGATTGGATGTAAATCATGAGAGTTTCCGGGCCAATCTATAATACTTTGATTTGCTCACTGGTATGGCTTGTATATGTGTTCGTGCAGCATTACAATTTTCGAACGCTTTCTTGGAGTAATATCCATCGCAGACAATGACAGTAGGACAACTAATCTGCAGTCAAAACAGTACTGTCTGGACGTGATGAAATATGTAATCACAGATGACGCAATATTTTTCAAGTCCAAACAAATTTCATCATGCACCCCGAAAATGGATTCATATTACTGCACACCACTGCAAATAACCTAATCTAAGGAAAAAAATAGAAATCTATTAAACTCTGTCACTCCAGTAGGTCTAAAATTAACAATACGGTGTAAGAAAGGAAACGAAAGCGATTGTTTCAATTAATTTGCACAAGGGTGTATATGTGTGTGCGCTCATGCGTCTCTGTGTGAGTGTGTGTGCTCGCGCACACATATGTATGTGTAAATCTTTGTGTGCGTGTGCAAATATTCGTTAATGTAAAAATGTGGTATAATTGTGTATTTAAAAGTATATATGTAGATATTGATAGATAGAGAAGGACAGTGACATACAATTACAGAAAGAAATGCATTTCCCTGTGTAATCAGTTATCTATATTATTATATATATCTGTATTAACAAAAATATCTGCATCCATATCTATAAAATAATCTATATCTAACAGAGGTGCGTTCATGTGCATATTATTCGAGGATTATATAACTATTTATGTATAAGTTAGTGCGTAAATACAAGCGTATCTTTTTGGTGGAAGTGTGTATCACATGTGTCGTAGACTTTCTTGTTCTTACAACTCTGCAAAGAGTGGAACTGTTTTTGGTTGTGATGAAATCTACCTTCCGCCGCTCACTAATGGAAGCCATTGTTTTACTCGGCGCTTTCCATGTGTTTTGCGCGTAGACCACGAAGATGTGTTGCACAAACGCCGGTTTTCCCGCTGCAAGGCATTTACACTCGGAAAATATATGCTCTCTTTCTCTCTCTTCTATTCTTCTTTTCTTCTTCTTCTTCTTCTTCTTCTTCTTCTTCTTCTTCTTCATCACATGGAAAATATATGCTTTTCTGCTCTTCCTTTATCTCCCTTTCTTTCTTTCTTTCTTCTTTCTTTCTTTCTTTCTTTCTTTCTTTCAGGTTTGCCTTCAACATTTCTCTTACGATTTTATGTTCCTTTTCTTCGCTCTGCTTTTTTACTTCTTCTTTCTTTAAACCGTGTACTTTCTTTTGTATTTCCCCTTTTCTTTTTATTGCTTCCATTTTCCGATTTTCCATAAAAAAAACAACATATTTCTTTCTTCATTATTTCATTTTCATTCATTCATTTTTATTTTCATTCGTTTATTTTTATTTTCATTCCATTTTGTTTCTTCATTCTTTTATTGCTGTCGTTGTCTTTCTCCATTTCCCTTATTTTCATTTTTTATCACGTTCATTTTCCTCTCCATCATTTTTCATTTATTTCTTTATTTTTTTCATTCAAACACTTTCTCCTTCTTTCCCCGATGAGCCTTTTCATTTTGATAATACATTAGATGATTATTTATTGATGAACAGTTTCTTTCTCTACTTCATCTTTCTCCGGAAATATAATTTCTTTCTTTCTTTCTTTCTTTCTTTCTTTCTTTCTTTCTTTCTTACAAACGTATTTATGCATGTATTTTGTCCAGAGTTTGTTCATTTTTCATTCTCAGATTCTATGTAGAGATTTTCTTTCCTTTCTTCCTAAACTGCATTTTCTTTCTTTTTCCTTAACTTCTTGTTTCTTTAGTTTTTCTAAATAAACATTTCTTGTTAAGCATTTTTCGTTTTATGATTTATATCATCCGTTTTCTTCTTTTTCTTCTTCTTCTTCTTCTTTTCTTCTTCTTCTTCTTCTTTGCATAATCATCACAATTTTCTGTTTTTTTTTTCATCTTTTTAACCTCCATTTTATCTCAAGCAATTCTTTCGTTTGGTTCCATCACTTGCCAACTTCGCAACCCCACCTTGCTGTAACATTGATTTCAACAAATTCTCGAATACATTTCCTGTTAGCAGTGTACAGGAAAAGACGCATTATCATGAAAAATGGGCGCCATGAGTTGACACTACTTCATGCCAAATATTTTTAACCGGAAGATAGAAACTTCGTCTAACGTCTCATTGCAAACATTTTTTTTCTATTTCCCTTTCTTCTGCTCAGGGTTTTCTCAACAAAACAGATTTAATATTTCTTTGATGCGTAGATATAATTTGCCTGTAACTAGAGATTGCAGACAATCCATAATCTCGCGTCAATATTTGTATATCTCCATACCATTAAATACATTTCCGCTAATAACAGTTTAAATACAGGATTAGATGTTAATTAAGCTGAGTTTAGGATTTTGGCTTGATTTTTAAGTTTTTAAATTTTTGTAACAACTTGTTTAAAAGGTATCTTATTTTTCAATTAATTTCAGTTTTCAACGAAATTGTAAAAATGAAAGAAAAATACGACGAATTTAAATCAAAACTTCAGAGTCGCATGCAGGTAAGAGTGTTTGTCGCCAGTTCCTCAAACACAAAATGTCTTTAAGTTACGAATTCAGAAAAAAAACAAAAAAAAAAACAAACTTTATTTTTAACATTTTCATCCAAAACAGGAAACCAACACGTTAACTGATGACATTTGAAAAAAGAATATATATATATATATATATATATATATATATATATATATATATATATATATATATATATATATATATATATATATATATATATATATATAGTATACATAGTGACGCGAAACATTTTGATTAAATGAAGCTCTGAGAATACACAAAAGAAAAATTATCCATATGCAGATAAACATTCTTTCTGTCTTTCTTAGATAAATTTTAAATCTACACTTACATAAGATTATTGATTGGACTCTGTGCAGGCTGACAATGAGAGTAACACCTTCCAATTATTATTAAGTTGGTGAAGCAGTTGTGGGAGAACACTTTACTGAGTGATGCCAGAACTAATCTTTTCAGCAATCATCTTTGCGGAGCACAGGTTGTAGACGATAATGATTTCATGCGGGAAAGATCCGAAGTTGAAAGAAATCCAATCATACTTAATGGGGAATCGAACTTGTTTTCGTTTTTTTTTTATCATTTCACCCCATGCAAGGCAGTAACGACACTAAGACACAATGGGTTACTGAATAACAAAAATAAATAAATAAATAAATAAAAAAAATAAAAGCGAAACATAATTAAAGATCGAGAACAATAGAAGATAAACAAGAAGAGAATAGATATGGATTGACATTACATTGAGATTTTTGAAAATGCAAGTTGACTGGAAAGCATGAAGCCGGAAGAGATGTCTACACGTGAGAAGTGCAAAGCAAAGAAACCGTTAGCATAGAACTTACGGTTACTTATAGCCAATTCAGTTGTGAATTGATGAAACATTGCAACTCATAAGTAGCCTGCAAATGATTGTGTTGTGGATTCCGGGATGAAATCCGGTCTCAAATGAATGACAAATGCAGGAATGAAATATAGCAAATAAATGTATTGACGCAATAATACAATTGGTAATACGGTTAGTAGATCCAGAAATGCGGTTAGTAGCAATAATATATATATATATATATATATATATATATATATATATATGTATATATACAGTCTGGGAAATTCAGTATCGAAGTATGACTTCCTTCTGAGTCTACGTGCTCGCAACTGTGACTCCTACAAAGCGGTTACCTCACACTCTCACTCTCTCACCCCCGGTTATTCACTGGCAGCAGTACAAGTACACACTGGGCGAGTCCACTTGTATAAAAAAGGGGTGGACCCCTTAACAGATTGATAAGCCGTAAAAAACAAATCAATCAATCGATCAATAAATCCTGGACACGTGGAATTTCTTCTTCCACATCTTTTTAGTGGTGCACTACTGTGACACTATTATAAGACATAAAACAAGACAATTAACATTAGCTATTTTTGCTTTTCTTCTCTCCGTTTTTAGCTTCTTATACTATTTCTTTAACTGTTATTCTTCCTTACACATTGTCATCTCTCTTCATAATCCTTCTATCGTTCATATTTTTCATCCTTTCATTTTTAAATATTTTTCTTATTTTGAGTTCTTCACCATTTCTTTTCATTTGTTCATTTTTATTTTTCCCTTTTCATTCATTCTTTCACTGTTTTGTTTCATTCTATTTTATTTTTTGTACTTGTTTAATTTATTTACCAATATTCACTTTTTCTTTTTCCATTTTCATTCTTTATTTCATTCTATTTTATTCCGTTTTCTTCCTTCTATTGCTGTCATTTTCTTCCTCAATTGCCGCCATTTTCATTATTTATTTCATTTTGTTTAATTCCGTTTTCTTCCTTCTATTGCTGTCATTTTCTTCCTTAATTGCCGCCATTTTCATTCTTTATTTCATTTTGTTTAATTCCGTTTTCTTCCTTCTATTGCTGTCATTTTCTTCCTTAATTGCCGCCATTTTCATTCTTTATTTCATTTTGTTTAATTCCGTTTTCTTCCTTCTATTGCTGTCATTTTCTTCCTTAATTGCCGCCATTTTCATTCTTTATTTCATTTTGTTTAATTCCGTTTTCTTCCTTCTATTGCTGTCATTTTCTTCCTCAATTGCCGCCATTTTCATTCTTTATTTCATTTTGTTTAATTCCGTTTTCTTCCTTCTATTGCTGTCATTTTCTTCCTTAATTGCCGCCATTTTCATTCTTTATTTCATTTTGTTTAATTCCGTTTTCTTCCTTCTATTGCTGTCATTTTCTTCCTTAATTGCCGCCATTTTCATTCTTTATTTCATTTTGTTTAATTCGTTTTCTTCCTTCTATTGCTGTCATTTTCTTCCTTAATTGCCGCCATTTTCATTCTTTATTTCATTTTGTTTAATTCCGTTTTCTTCCTTCTATTGCTGTCATTTTCTTCCTTAATTGCCGCCATTTTCATTCTTTATTTCATTTTGTTTAATTCCGTTTTCTTCCTTCTATTGCTGTCATTTTCTTCCTCAATTGCCGCCATTTTCATTCTTTATTTCATTTTGTTTAATTCCGTTTTCTTCCTTCTATTGCTGTCATTTTCTTCCTTAATTGCCTCCATTTTCATTCTTTATTTCATTTTGTTTAATTCCGTTTTCTTCCTTCCATTGCTGTCATTTTCTTCCTCAATTGCCGCCATTTTCATTCTTTATTTCATTTTGTTTAATTCCGTTTTCTTCCTTCTATTGCTGTCATTTTCTTCCTCAATTGCCGCCATTTTCATTCTTTATTTCATTTTGTTTAATTCCGTTTTCTTCCTTCTATTGCTGTCATTTTCTTCCTTAATTGCCTCCATTTTCATTCTTTATTTCATTTTGTTTAATTCCGTTTTCTTTCTTCTATTGCTGTCATTTTCTTCCTTAATTGCCTCCATTTTCATTCTTTATTTCATTTTGTTTTATTCCGTTTTCTTTCTTCTATTGCTGTCATTTTATTCCAAAATTGCTACAATGTTTTTTATTTATCATATTCTTATTTCGTGTTTTTCCTATATTTCTTTAGTTTTTCATTCTGCCTTTTGCGCATTCTTTCCCTTGTAATGTCTTTTCATTTTGATCGTACGTTTACTGATTATGTATTTGCTGTAAATATCTTCTCGACTCACTTTTACTCGGGAAATATAAGTAGAGGAAGAAACAGACATGAAGTATTATTTAATGTAGTGTGAGTATTTTTATACTATTATTCACCTAATACAAGGCCTAAGAACCACTCGAGAATGAGAATTACTGAATGTGGTCTATGAAGATAAGATGAAAAAGTACAGATTATGAAGATATGTAGGACAGAGTACGAATGACTTCAGATATGAAGAAATTAAGATTCTAGTGACCAGAGAAACGTCCTTTTGAGAGTTTGTTCCTTTTTTTGTTTAACAAAATAGTGGTTCTTGGGAAGAAGTTTGCCGAATGGAATGAGGATGATTCTCTCCTGCGAACATGGCATGACGGGTTTTACTTGTGAAGGTTTGAAATGGTGGAAGCAATGTATGTCTCTCGGCCGAACGTTTTTCATATACTTATTTTGCAGTGCAAAGGACACAGTAACCGATAAAAATATTTATTGGTTAATCCAACGCCGCTTAAATGTAAAATTTGAAAACATGGTTCCAGTCTTGGCATCGATCACTGCCTGATATTTCCGCCTCATATTCTCCAATCATAGGATATTTATTTGTCATGTGGCACTAACCACTTCAAACAATGCAACACAGAGATCTCAGATATCACACAGTAGGAAATCTAGAGCATAAACACGTTGTTTTTACTGTTCCGGTACTGTTCTAGTGGGTTGAGATCTCGAGACATGGTTAGCGATGTCTAGGATTACAATTTGGTAGAGACGCGCTGTTACAATGCGATCAAGATAAGGTGTTATATTTATCATGTAAATAAATTTATTTTTTATTTTTAGTCCACCTTATACAAGGTAAAATGACCACTCACTTTAAAGGATTACTGGGTAAGATTCTTGTTATGGGATCTTACCCATAATAATAATAATAATAATGGACTATTCCATACTTAATAAATACTGCGCCTCAGGAGTAAGCAAGGAGTCATTAGTTCAAGTCGAGTCAAGAGTCGAGTCAGAGGCAGTCCGAAACAGAGTCGCGTTCAGACAATTACTGCAAGACATTGGAATAGTGATACTGGTCGAGACTACATTGTTCTCTCTACTAAACCTGATTGTTCATACTAACATTTCTACTTCTCTGTATATATTCCTGTTTGTAATATATCTGTGTTATTCCATATCCGTATTCGAGTTCTTCTTTATTGGTTCTGCCTTGGACTATCACTGTGGTACAAGGAACCGGACCATAACAAATATCGTAAGGGAGTAAAAGAAGAAAGGATTAATAAGTGCGCATTATAAAGACGTTTATCTATAGATCTCGGTTGGCTCTGGCGTTGAAGAAACATAAGATAATAGTTATCAGCTAAAAAGGTAACAGTTCTGGGAAAGGCATTATCTGGGTGGAATTTACTCCTCCTCAATGGAAATGGGGATGATTTGACACCGTGAATATGGCATGGCGTGTCCTATCTGTAAAAGCCTGAGTTGGTGGAACTAAGGAATTTAACTCGTTCAAACAGCTGTCATAGTAATAACGATAGCGTAGCGAGAGCCTAGCAACGTTTCACCCCTGAGATAAGGGTTGAATGGTAGAGAATAATTAACCACTTCATGGCCAGACGATTATGGGTTCAGCTTCAAATACTAAAGGACTAGAACCTGGCATCTGATCTTTCCCTTGGCATAAATTAATTATCTGACTCGTAACATTCAGTACTTCCAACATTAAGCTAGTAACATTTCATCACCACCGAGCAGACACTGAATTTTCGCCTTTTATGATGAACAGTTTTATTCTCAAGGAGGTTTCTTGCTTTGAACTTCTACTGTGATTCAACGGAACAAGGACCTTGAATGACACTTGTGCTCTTTATTTGTTTCTCGAATGTCCCGTTCATCACATCGTGAGTCTGATGATTTGATATCAGTTCGAAATGAGTGAACATCTACGAGGAAATTCTGATGACATTTTGGCCTAGAATACGCTTATTAAATTACTACAAATGAGTAAACCCAACCACTACTCCCGCAAGAGCAATATATCAAGTAAATAGAGACTAAAATCTAAACGACCAATATTTACCTTTATTTAATTCCCTGAAGCAAGTAAATGCCTACCGACTCAAGTATAATCGATAACAGTTTACCTATATCGGAATCGGTTAACGATTATTGAAACAAATATAATCGCCGAATATTCTCCAATCTACAAACAAAATTCCCTGTCAGTAGAGAGTAGAATACACTGATCGGATCTCCTTCTGAGGTTAAATCCCACCAAAAGTGCAATGTACCAAAATACTTACAGATTTAAATATAGTAATCCATATCTATGTTTGAGTCAAGTAGTTTCTTAATAGTTTCAAATTTAATTTTGAAAGACTGATTATGAAATTAAACAATTCACTCAAAGAATGATACATAAAATTAACCATTCTAACTCTAATAAGTGTTGTTCATGATGACGGTCGATTTTGAGTATAGAATCCAGAGGTTAGCAGTGAAATATTTCGAAGACAGTAAGGAAGCGTAGTTCCGGTTAGCAGTGGATATCTCGGTAAAGTAGCAGAGCGTAGTTCAGTAGTTCTCCCCTTCTGTTCTTCTTCGCCTGACAAGCTGGAACTGGACATTCGGGTAAAGTAAGCAAAATGGCCGCCTTTATACACGACGGATTGAATATTCTACGTTTTCTGATTGGTTAACCTTTCTCTTGGTGGACTATAAAATGAGTCAAGTCATTTTGACTGGCTCACTAGTAAATACATACCCAAAAACTGCAACATTTTCTTCATTTGTGAGAAGATTGTCTAGCATTCACTGCCATATAAAACATTAGATATTACATAGCAATTAAGAATACATTTAATTGCTTTTAAAGGCATTTAATTTCTCAATAGTTTGAATGTCAATAGAGTAAACAAAATGGCCGCCTTTATACACGACGGATTGAATATTCTACGTCTTCTGATTGGTTAACCTTTCTATTGGTGGACTATAAAGTGAGTCAAGGCATTTGGATTGGCTCACTAGTACATAACATACACAAAAACTTCAACAATAAGCACGACGCAAAACATTATTTTTCGGATGTATGGAGGCCGTTAATAATTAAGTATAACTGAATACTTCAATGTCCATTAAAACATTATTTAATTACAACCGCAAATAATGCTTAACAAGATCAAAGAAGTCAACCAAAAGATAAATAAACATTTCAGTGAATACCTTGTTAGTAGCACGGCTCGGCTTAAAGTTCAGTAAATCCTAAATCAAGACCCAAATCATCGACGCACAATAATTCACACTAATTCGACTTGATAATTCCACTCAATAATTACTCAATAATCATTGCAGTCAGTAAGTATCTTGATATCTCTATTTATACACCTCGAGGAAAACATATTTATAAGTCCAGAGTGTCACGTTCGAACCTCGATATCGGTAGTTACTCATTTTCTTCCTATATGAAAATTATATTCACACTTTTTTCTGTTTTTAAAAGTTCTTTCCAATTTTTCACTTTCTCTTTATCTAGCGGTCTGCTGGTATAGTCATTTATACAGTTTCTAACGTTTTGTTTTTTCTTGATTACGGCTATATATATATATATATATATATATATATATATATATATATATATATATATATATATATATATATATATATAAATATAGGATTGGTGTATACGGAATAAATTCAAATAACCAACAATAACTATTCTTAAAAGACTGCTCAATACAGAGTAGAGCGAATATAATTATTTATTCGAAAATTATAACATAAATATGTTATAAAATCATTACAAAAATAGCCATTTTGTTTCAACACCTCTGGTGTCTTATCAAGTGATGATGTTGAATATAGAATAAAGGCTTTTAAAAGATTCAAATCAATTAACCACCCCTCACAAGGGGAAACGCTGTTACATAAGTTGGAATGACCAATCAAAATACAAGTCTACGAGAATTCAAAAAAACTTGAGAACAAACTAAGGTTATAATAACTATTTAATGTCTTTATGTTGGGGTTAGATTAAAATAGAATTTATTCTAACTAATAAGTATTAAATTATACGATAAAATTTGAAATTAAAAATTACCAATTTTAAAATTTAAATTTAATCCCTATTAAGTTTTAAAATTATAAAATTACTGAGGAAAAAGAAAAATACATATTTTATTCTAATTATTTTGTTTTTATAGAAATTAAGTTGGAATCATCGTTAATATTAACATTTG